CAATTCGTAAATAGTGCAGAACGTAAATTTAATCATTATATTCTACTATCAAAGTAACCCGCATTATCAAAGATATAGTTTTACGGTACTTATGACCAAGCATAATGTCTACCTCGACTCTCTTGATAAATAAATAAGTGCTTCATCATCGATTAATAGTGGTTCATAAAGTACACTCGACGTTCGGTAACAGATTAATGTTTACACATAGCAGCTGCATTCACTAACTGAAATGCATTTTATTTGTCTAACCAGTAATTTTCTTCTTAATTCCATCTGGAACCTTAAGCATCTTAATTAATCATTTACAAATGGGATCTTCATTTTGCGAATCCAGAATAATCCCAAGACTGAACAGCTGCTATTTGTTCACTAAAACTCCATCATGTAGAATGAAGCGCTTCTCGCTCAGCTAGTATGATCTTATGTCTTCAGCCAGAGAAAAAGGCTGCCGAAATAATTGTTATTTTTATTGTTAATTATGTTTTTTGGAGGGGGCATTGAGCCTGCTCGTCAGTGTAATGTTGACGACCAATTATACACCTTCCATGCAGCAATCAAACAGATAAAGATGAGATGGCTCTTAGATAATGACTTATGCGAGTCGATTGAAATCAGCCAAATATTAAATAAGGGTTAGGTTGATCCTTAACATAGAAGCGTAGATGCATAGGTGAAGGATGAGGGAAAGAAAAGGCAAAGGTGTTGAAATGAAGAATTAGATGTCGTCGAGATTGAATACGCATGTTTAAATAACGTTGATCCAGGTACCTATCGTACAAATTTGCATATCATATAGTTGTTATTATTGCCAATAATACTTACATTTCGAGAAAGATGATGCTACCTATTTTACCTTTTATGTGATACCTATCATCACAGAATCCAACCTTGAATCGTAGACCAGCTCCATTAACAATACACTCGTTCCGAGAAGGGGCTCATGGTACCACTCATCCTGTATAGTCATCTTTTTCTTCTTCAGGATCGCTTACCACCCGGAATGAACGCTCGGTGCGGTTCGTAATATCAAATAGTGCTACATGCAAACGGAAAAGAGATACAACCAGGATTAGTTTTTTAATGTAATAGTTTCATCTGAATACCCAACTAACCATATCTCAGTGACATTGTCTCACCCTAACATTTAAAGTTTAAATTCTACGGAAAACAACCGAGGGAAAAAGGATGCACTCACGGGAAACTACGAAGCGAACTAAACAGTAAGCGAATTGGTGTTGACGGCACCGTAGAAAATCATCTTATACCGTCAGAGATTGACAGATTCTTATGAGAATTTTCGCTTGAGTACAAGGATAGTACGATGTCCGCGATTTCGCACAGACGTTTTCTTATGGGATTAAACCATAGGAGTAAAGAGTAGAAAAATATCCAGATGGATTTCTAGTAAAGAGTTACAGAGCTGCGAACACACTCGAGTCGAGCTTAAGCCGACTCGAGTCATGCAGCCCGAGCATAATTTCGACCCGAGTCATGCAGATCGATCATCATGGTAACGTCTAACGTTGGTCTAACGCTAACATTTTTCCTTCTGGGTAAGGGCGAATACGCGATGATCGATTCTCTTCATCGATTTTCTCTTTGCATTGCTACAGCTAAGCGAAACAATTTTCAAGAATTTGTTCAATGCAGAGTAGTAACAGGTTGTATTGGCTATCAAAAGCAACAGCAAACGCTCCGAGAAACGTTTAATCTAGCGAGTTATTAACAAAAGAGAAAATCGACGAAGAGAATCGATCATCGCGTATAGGCCCTTATGCATGCTCACTGTCAAACTAATAAATTTGTGTTACACGGCCAATGACAGTAACCCGAATTTGAGTTTCATTCACTCAGATTTTGCAAAAGTGCAGGAACGCACTGTGTGAGTAAACTGATTTTACGCAACTGTGATAAGTGAGGGAAAATTGTGACGTTGAGGTTATTTTATAGTATATACCTACTAAAAAATAATTATTTAAAAAATAATAATCTTGATTTAAAACGAGGGGCACGCAATATAAAGAACCGGTGCGTTGAAGTTAAAATGCAATCAAAAGTACTTAATGCGTTTTGAAGTAGTACTGACTTTATTTAAAATTAACTATCCTTACTTTATGTAATTAAAAGTATTGAAAGTGTAATTAATGTACTTTAATCACCGACAAACCAACATGACACTTAATTCTGACTTATGCCCGAAAATCGTAAACGGTCGATTTAAATGTGCAGTGATCCGAATTGTTTAAACTATAGGATTTTTTGATCTAGATAAAAATAATTTGTCCAGAATAGATCAGACACGAACCAATTCATAACTTTTGCATGCGGGCTCATGGCTTAGCTAAATATTTCCCGTGAACCCGGAGCCAGATGTCATTAGTGTGCTTTGGTCAGAAATTTTATTGTTTTTGCTATAATCATTGACAGATAAAATGAGGGGTTAGTGGATTTTCCTATGTTTCGAGGGGTGAATCGATTAGCTTGGGACCGAAGCCGTTCTTTGAAACCAGCATCTTTTGGTGTGCAACAATTCATACGTCAGTTTAAAAACCTTGGTTTTTATTTTGACAGTTCTACAATTTGATTTCAATTTTGCAACTTTTAAGGCCGGCGCACAATATATACGTTTTCGGGTTTTTTGACAGATAATGCATGGGCTAACTGTCAAAAAACCTGAAAACGTATCTATTGTGCACCGGCCTTTAAAATTAACAAGAAGGGAAACATTTGATTTGAAAGGTAACACATTTTTATATTGAAAGCTCAAGACTTTCTACCAAAAAGAACCAATGCAAACTTTTAATTCTACCAATGGTTTTTTCAATTCTATTAACGATTATTTTTTGTGTGCATCAATCATCGATTTTCTCTTTGCATTGCTACAGCTAATTGAAACAATTTTCTAGAATTTGTTCAATACAGAGTTGTAACAGGTTGTATTGGCTATCAAAAGCAACAGCAAATGCATCGAGAAACGTTAAATCTAGCGAATCAAGAGAAAATCGACGAAGAGAATAGATCATCGCGTTTGCGCCCTTTTGTATGCTCACTGTCGAATTTAATCCAATTTAGAGCTGCATCAGCTAGTTTTGTCGGTACAAGTTGTGATTCCATTGTTCGGCTTTAAATTTGATAAAAGTATAACAGAAGATTTTGATTTTACAGGCACCATTGACGAGTGCACGGATGGATTTGAGTTCACTCACTCGACAAAAAGTGACACAACAGCGGGGCCCTGTTTACTAAAAATGAACACATATGTGTTCATTTTTAGTAAACAGGGCCCCGCTGTTGTGTCACTTTTTGTCGAGTGAGTGAACTCAAATCCATCCGTGCACTCGTCTATTGTCTATTTATTGGGTAAAATGTTTTATAGAGCAAATAGAGCACCAGTATAATCGTAGGCATTAATAGCCTTTTAGCAACATATATGTTCAAACCTTGCATGGAAATAAATTTGTTCAAAAAAATGTGAAATTTAAGATAGGGCCAATTAGAGAACCACTTGGACCAACTACTGGCAAACTTACCCTATTGGTAGATTTACTTTTTTCAAGGCTCATTAAATTTACTTACAGCTAGAATGTAGATAGTTAACTTTTATCACACATTATTTTTGTCTGTGCATAAACAATAACCATAAAAAGCGCCTAACCACCAATTAGTGATATCATCCCAACGCTAGGCGGTATGGTTGCATCATCTATGATATGATTTGTGTATGGTGTGCGTTTATTAGGATTAACTGTACTTTATGTTAAAACTATCATGACCAACTTGATCAATTTCGTTGATGGTATGGAACAAATTATACACGGCGAATGAGAACGATTCAAATTTGAGTTTAGTTCACTCATAATCGCCAAAAGTGCAGGAACTCAGCGATGAGTAAAATTTGTCCCATGGTTTTCTGTGGAAAACCTAAAAAATTTGCCGGAAAATGGGGAAATTGACGAAAATTTTATTCAGTCTCGGAGTAGTACCAATAGACTGAGTGAATCCAATCTTTACTTTTCTCAAATTCGGGAATTTTTCCCTGGAAAATCCTGGAAAAACCTGGGAAAACATGAGGTAAATTAACTCATCGCTGAGTTCCTGCACTTTTGGCGATTATGAGTGAACTAAACTCAAATTTGAGTCGTTCTCATTCGCCGTGTAGGCATTGCTACCCTTATAAATTTATGGTGCTCATCTTGCCCCATTCTATTTATTAATTGAGATTTTTTAATCATCATAAATTAATTTATTAAAGCAATTTTCAATAACATTATGCTATTGTCTAGGTAACCAACGAAGGAATAAAAAAAAATATTTATTAGTTACTAGCGAAGTGGTTTACACACATTTTTACCTACTAGACAGTCAAAAGTTGTGGTTTAGAGACGATGCTCCATAGGGCCATCTTACCCTACTTTCCCATACCGTGTACACGGCGAATGAGAACGACCCAAATTTGAGTTTAGTTCACTCATAATCGCCAAAAGTGCAAGAACTCAGCGATGAGTAAAATTTGTCTCATGGTTTCCTGTGGAAAACCTAAAAAAATCTGCCGGAAAATGAGGAAATTGACGAAAATTTTATTCAGTCTCGGAGTAGTACCAATAGACTGAGTGAATCCAATCTTTACTTTTCTCAAATTCGGGAATTTTTCCCTGGAAAAACCTGGGAAAACGTGGCAAATTAACTCATCGCTGAGTTCCTGCACTTTTGGCGATTATGAGTGAACTAAACTCAAATTTGGGTCGTTCTCATTCATGAAAATCTGTCGGCATGGTTTGCCAAATCCAAACCTCTGAATTTTTAATAAGCAAAAGAATAATTTCATTCCGTTTCCCAAACATACTAAATTTTAGCTGCGAATCAATATAGCAACGAAATCCAGTTCAATTATTTGTTTGAATCTTGAGGGGTCGTGCCCTACCATACAAACTTAGCACACCTTATTGTGGACACTTTGGATTTCCTCTTGAAACAAATGAAACTTTGAACGACATTAATTCTTTTAGATTTAATTTATTTTACACATACATGTTGAATTATACTTGCTTGCTGCTGGCAAATCTATCACTCCAATACGTCCCTAACCAGAGCTTAGTCAAAGCTCTTTGGGGGGTTGAAGTTGAAGTAGATCAGTCCGGATTCCTTGGCCTGAAAATAAGAAAGAAACAATCAACGCCACTGGCCAGCTGAGGATCACCAAAGGATGTCGACTTACGATCGTCACGACGATGCCGAAGACAACGATTCCAGTTGCAAGCACGGCGTTGTAGGTGCGGTTCTTGCGGCGGTGTTCCTCGAAGAAGTCACCCTCCGGCACGGGCAAGTCGTTCATGGTGAACACACGGAAGTTGCTCGGGCCATGGTAGCCGCGGGCGAAGAAGGCCGCTAAAATAAATAGAAACAAAAGTTATTGTGGGACAATCACCTGATGGGTGGCTACTTGCAGCCATTGATCGCATTCGCCAAGGGTTATGTAATGGTGACATGAAAAACCGAATCCTCCGGTGTTTCCGTGCATACAAGCGACGGCATTCCGATACGCTGCGGTTACTTACCGTTGCGGACAGCCACGCTGGACAATGGGCGGATGGCTTGCATTTTCTATTTGGAGGAAATTCGGGAAAAGCACCAAAGAACAACGAGTTATCCTGCGGAGACAAAACGAGTCGCACAGATGGGATAAAAAAAAACTTCTGACAGATTGCACCAAAATTTGACAGCGGTTGCTGCGAACTGGATGACAGATCGAGTAGACTGCTCGAAAAGAGCTCGAATCAGATTATTTTATGCAGAGGCGGAGTAAAAAGGAGGATTAGAGATAAATTAAAACCCGTGCTTAAAAATATCCCTGAAATAATAATAAAACATCAATAAAATACGATACATTATTTTGTTGATCATTAACCCTATTGTATTGAATTAACCATTTCATTCGAGCAGTTTAAAATTACGTTTACTACCACTCGAACTTTGAAATAAAACATTATTTTGAGATTTTTTCTTGTAGAACCACGAGAATAAAAAAATATAAATTAGTTTGTCCAGTTTTGTGAAATCGCTGGTAGAAAGTCACGCCAAAACTGCTTGACAAAGTGGTCAATTGGTCAAATGATAAAATTACCACCACTATCGGTTTACAATATATTCTACGTTATCAAAATTTTGAACAATAAAAACATAATAAATTGCATTGTATTGCTCGCAATGAGATGAACTTTCTATTTTAAAAATTTCATTTACAATAGATTCTTTTGCACATTGCAATAAGTTCTAATGGTATTTATTGTTTTTGACAATAACATTTTAACATAACAGCAGTGCTGAGCAGTTCCAGTGATCGACCTTGATTTGTAAAAGACTGGGCGTAATAATGCATTTTACGGGACAGATCGAGTCAGCTGATTTTATTCTGTTTACTAATTTTGACATTTACTGGCGGGCCGAATATCTTCATTCGCAACTACACGGCCATCAAAAGTGACTCACGGAGTGTGTTTAACTTGCTTACTTTTGGGTAAATCCGTGACAAGCCCATACACTCGTGAGTTACTTTTGTTGGCTGTGTAGAGAATCAAAACAAAAATATCAGACGTAAACAATAACAATGCCACGAGCGGCCCGCCAGGAACTGTCATCAAAAAGTTTCGTAAAATGAGTCATTATTTGTTATGCGTGATGATTTAAAGTTTTGCTTAACATCGGCCATTTTGGATCTTGTAAAATTCAAGGTTAAATTTTCAAAAGGCGTCCATGAAATTTAAAATCAAATGTAGCACGGAAACGGCATTTCAAATCGAAGATGAATGACAAAGATGCATGTCATTTTGGGAAAAATTATTTATTTAAGTAAATAATAAAATGAAATGCTACAAACCTAAATATCTCAAAATGTACTTTGAGCATGTTCAAAATCATGGACACTTGAAAACAGTGCTGTAAACCATCAATATCAATACCAACAAAATGCTGAATTTCTCTAGCCACCTGATATCAGTATATGTTCACACAGTTATGCAGGTAACTCTAAGACCAGAAGGTCCCGAAGAAACGTGCTCAACTTTTTCGCTCAGCTCTGCCCAACAAACAATTTGAGTTGATGAAAAGCTGAAAAAGCTATTTTTTAGCTGAAGAAGCTTGTTTTTGCCTAAATAAGCTATTATTCAACATTCAATGTTTGTTGGGTGGTACTCTCTTCGGTTCCAAGCTAACCGATGCACCCCTCGAAACATAGGGAAATCCACGAACCCCTCACCGTTTGACAGATACTTTCATAGAGAATCAAAACAAACATAGTATAGTACTGCACTGATAAAATTTCAAAGATTGTTTTTATGTGTCCCAAACATGATTTTTTGCAATGTGATCAACAAATGATATCTATGTGTCCCACACATATGTACACATAAAAGCCATGTGTAACAACACATACTATTCATTTGACTCATAAATTTCATGTGTGCTTCTGGGTGGATTCTGTTTATGTGATCGTCACATAAAAATCATGTGGAATTTCACATAGAAATTCGTCAATAAAAATGTGTTGAATTTTAATAGTGTAGAATTTTGACTAGAATGTGGTACCAACCGGTGGAAACTAACGATTTTAAATTGGCTTAACTTTTAACAAATGAATATACGTTGTATACGAGTATTAGTGATATTTGGTATTAGTGAAGTTTAACACACTAGCGGCAGCATTGAATAACATATAAAAAAAAATGTATGAATAAAACAGCAAAAAAGGTTATCTTCCACTTAATCAGACCCCTTCACTCTCTGGAATTTATAGAGATAGATAACAGCGCCAAAGGGTTTCTGACGAGACAACGTTGAACCATAGAGGTAACTCTAAGACCACTGGGTCCCGAAGAAAATCATTATTATTTTTGGCTCACTCAGTACCAGAACAACGGTCCCAAGCAGTCCCAAGCTATTTCACTCACCCCTGCATGTTCTGCATGAATCCACACACCCCTGATGTTATCTGTCAAACTTTCATAGCGAATCAAAACAAACATAGTGTAGTAATAGAATTTCAACTAGAATAGGGTACGTTAATCGTTTGCTTGGGACCAATAGGCTACTAAAGTGGTGAGCCAATTTAAAATCGTTAGTTTCGTATTGATTGTTGGTTGAACTGCTGCGTTGGAAGAAAACACGCACATCAACATGTATGCATGTACGAACCCAACACAACTGAGCGGACGGTACAGCTCAAATCAAAACACGAAGTGGTGTCATCACTCATCGTCATCATTCAGCTTCGACTACTCCCGTTTGCGTTTGTTTTCACCGGCGTTGTCAAAAAGGGAAAAGTTGGCTTCAGCAATACCTTAACCTATTATCGTCAGGGTGTAAACAAAGTCCCAGAGCACTCAAATTTGGCCAATAGTTGCTCTGAAACACAATGTATCCCGAGGGGGACGACTCTATGTACGATGTAGGAAATATTGTGTTTTGCTGTGGCTAGCTGCGCGTACGCTGAGTAGATAGAAAGAAGATTTATCACGATTTGGGAGATTTCCTGCAAAAAGATGATGCACGATGCAAGTAGATGCGAGAAATGAAAGAATATTTTTAGAAGATTGATTAGCTAGTGTGAGATTTTCAAGCATCTAGAATTGAGATTTAGATGTGTCGCCCCCCTCGATGTATCCACATGCCAAAAATGAGCTCCCAAGGAAGTTGTTTACCCCCTGACGATAATAGCATAGAGGTAACTCTAAGACCAGAAGGTCCCGAATAAACGTGCTCAACTTTTTGGCTCAGCTCTGGTACTCTCTTCGGTCCCAAGCTAATCGATTCACCCCTCGAAACATAGGAAAATCCACTAACCCCTCATTTTATCTGTCAAACTTTCATAGCGAATCAAAACAAACATTGTGTAGTACTAGAATTTTGACTAGAATAGGGTACGTTAATCGTTTGCTTGGGACCAATAGGCTAGTCAAGTAGTGAGCCAATTTAAAATCGTTAGTTTCGAATTGATTGTTGGTATTGCTGAAGCCAACTTTTCCCCTACTTCCTACGTTATAAAATAGGAAAGTAATGATTATTCCAGCGTAATTTTTGAATGGAATGCTTGTTGCGTTGGCCAAAAAAGATGGCATATTTTATTACGTTTAGCAATGATTTGGATACGGTGCATTTCCAGTGGCTGGGGTGTTGGAATAATTCTTTAGAGAGAGGGAAGGGGTTTTTCCCATGTTTCCTTCTATGCTTATTAAGATTATGTTGAACAACAGCTCCGCAAATCATCAATTACTATTAGAGATTTGCATCTTACTGATACCGGTGGTATATTGGAAACTCTTTCGCTCGAAAGCAAAACATATCAGTGCTAACATTTGAAAACGGCACAAGAGCCATTTGTAAACAAATGGTTTGTGGGCCCTTTACTCACTACTTGAAGTACACCCACGCCACACAACAGCAACATCGGGTAGGGGAAATTTTCCCCTTCCTGACGATGCTGTTGGTTTGCGTGGGCGTTCTTCGGGTAGCGAGTAAAGGGCCCACAAACCATTTGTTTACAAATGGCTTTTGCGCCGTTTTCAAATGTTAGCACTGATATTACATGTACATCATGATGCGCGGATGTGTGATTGTCTTCTCAAGTGTTTCTGTTGCATATAATGTGGTAATGATTGAAAATCGAAGCAATCACAAACAAGTAAGAATCTTACTATCGCAATATAATGATGATTAAAGAGCCTGAATCTATAAAGAGGCGACATCTTATCCATTTGACAGGTCTTCTGCTCGATTGGAATGACTTTTCCTATGACTTTGACAGATAATCGATTGTTCCAATTTTGACATATCGTCTCTTTATAAATTCAGGCTCTTTAATGATGATGACTTCGAGGACGATATCGTCCTCTTCCCTTGGCAGATCATCAACGTCCGCGTTGACATATGCCATGCTGACACCTGTCAGTTATTGAGCCCTGGTGGTAAAGTTGGCGGGGAACTCCCAGCAGTTTCAATGTGCACTCAACAGATAGCACTGCGATCACATAAGGGTGGTAACTATATGCCTTGTATGAGGAATTGATTAGTGGGATATCTTGCAAAACTGCTTCTGGCGGTTCAACTTGGCCTACGGGCTTTCTTGGGCCTATTGGCTTGATAGGCCGGGAATGGGCGATTAGGCCGAAGTAGATTTAGTAGAAGTTTCCCTATTACATACATAGAATAAAAAATTGTTGAATATTACATCCAAACAGCTGCACAGAGGTCATTCCGCTGGTTGTGTAGTACAGTCGAAATTCGCTGGTTGGGCCAGCACCTCGGCCCAACTAACGAATTCGAGTCGCTAGTTGGGCCAACTGACAGAAGGCTAAAATTTGTTGAGGGGTGTGCGCATCCTTTGTTGAAAAGATTTCACAAAAAGCGGATTGAAGCAAGTTGCTTGAAGCAGAGTGGAAAAAGCAAATCATTAAGTGCACAATTTTTGTTTTTGTTTTCTTCTAGAATTTTAAATGAAACTCAAATGTTTCGAGCAAATACCAAACGTTAACATTCATTACGTATGATTCGCAGTCCTAACCGCATATGCTTACCCCCTGGAAGAATTTATGATCGATTGTCAAATCCAATTTGACATGAGATTTTGACATCCAGTTGCTTTTTAATTGGTCATGGCCCAACCAACGGAGGCCCAACTAAAAAGCAGCCCAAGTATTAAAAGCCCAACCAGCGAATTTGGACTGTATTACCACAAACGAAGTGACAGACGACTTACTGGCGAAGAAATCCATTTAAAATTATGTTCACTGTAATAGAATTTTCTTGGAAGCTTGTGCCATCATCCACCAGATGGGTTAGTTTTTTTATTTTGATTTGAACAAAGTTGATTTTGTGTACAATGATTCTTTGACAGTGTGCAAAGAGTGCGTATCATTTTGTCATTTTTTTATGCATTTCAGTTTTGAGTAGAGTGAAAGAGATAGAACCAAAATATTCTAGTACATTTGGTGAAAATGCTAGTTCAATCCAATAGTAGTGTTGCCATGTGGTACAATCCAGTAGTAGTGGTGTTGCCATGTGGTACACTGAAAAATTGCAATAGAAGGTTAGTCTCCAAAGTTTTCGAGCCGCTCCGTCTGTCACTTCGTTTGTGGTATTACCACAAATGAAGTGACAGACGATTAAGTGGCGAAGAAATCAATTAAAATAATGTGGTTCACTGTAATAGAATTCTCTTAGAAGCTTGTGCCATCATCCACCAGATGGGCTAGTATTTTTGTTTTGGTTTTGCCAAGGGGTTGGTCACTCTACACAGTGTGCCCAAATCAAACTTGGGCACACCCGGGTGCAGTCATTGGCGTTGTTTGGCACCCATTATTACAATTTTTATGATCTTTAAAGTTACTGGCAACACTGAACTTTTTCTGCGCCTACGCAGTGCGCATGTGTCAACATTTGCTATTGATGTTGCCACAATATAATCAAATTATTTTCAAAACAACCGTGGATCTCCACCAAGTCTCGCCATGGATTCTCAAAATCGTTACACCTGTGACGGCAGTCGCATCCACATTTCCTCCCAGATGAAGAACAGCTGACAGCGGTATCTTGGCCTGACCGAGGTTTCCGGTCACGAACTAGCGATGCAGCTCACACGGCTGCGGCTGCTTCCAATGCTGCTGCTGGTCCGTCTTATTTTTATGAATTTTGGAGGAGACGGACCAGCAGCCGCAGCCGTGGAAGCTGCGTCGCTAACTCGAAATTCTAGTACTACACTATGCTTGTTTTGATTCGCTATGAAAGTTTGACAAATAAAATGAGGGGTTCGTGGATTTTCCTAAGTTTCGAGAGGTGCGTCGATTAGTTTGGGACCGAAAATAGTACCAGAGTTGAGCCAAAAATTTGAGCACATTTTTTCGGAACCTTCTAGTCTTAGAGTTATCTCTATGCTACTATTGTCTTACCTATTGTATCCGGGGGAACATGTGAACATGGATACAAAGTACATTCGTTATGAGACAGGTAACACAGTAGGCATGGTGGCAGGTTTCACAGTACCTGTGGATGCTTTTCTAACTACAAATAAAAAAATTATACAATTTATTGATTTAATAAAATGCTTATCATTTGATATAAAGTCGGCATTATGTAAATGAAACATGGATATACTTAATTCTAAGTTTTATGGGAGCCTGAGGTCGTGGCTCCCCTGTAAATCTTGCACCTGAAGATTGGTCACACTCTGACAGGACACTGTTTTGGTTGTTCTCCCGAGTAGTAGGTATATGGCCAAGCCTAGTACTGATCCTGGGTCATACATGGTAATGATCGTGGTGCTTCGGGTGGCTAGACTCTGACATTCTAGTAGATGCCACACCAACGCCACTAGTGAACGCCTGACCTATCACATAAACATCACATCATATTATTCATCATTGATCAAACGGTTCCGTATTTCCTGAATGCAGATTGGAGCATTTATGTCCGATTTTAAATTCGATCGCATATCTCACCATAAGTAGATAGATCCAGGCATATTTCTGTTCAATATACATTGTGGTTGTATTAATACGTGGATTGACATAAAGTTGCTTCTTTGACAGCTCGTCTATTCTAAAAATCATTTAAATCACTAAATCACATTAGAAACTGCAACAAAAATCCCCAGTGATTTTTATTTGATCAGCAGATGTATAGAGATCGATCATTACATTCGAACAGTTAGGAATAGCATTTACAACCACTCTTGCACTCGAAGGATATTGTGAAAAGTAATGTAGGGTTACGGTATGTAATGTGGGTCTAGTCCTTTCATTCGGCCTATCACGCAAATAAATAATTAATTAAGGAATATTACACAAAAAATAAGGAAAATATTGATCACTGATGATTGATAAATGTGTACCACACACAAATCAATTTATATCACAACATTTCAATACATTTTCAGCTCTCGTAAGTAATAAAACTGGTTGAGAATATCACTCTGTTCGGAGTTTTTAGCCGCCATGACTTCTAAGGTTAAGATGGGAAGGTTGCACTGACGATCATCAAATGGCCTGATTATGGCATTTATTGAATGGAATTACCTGATAATACACACTAGACGTAAAACTCACAGTTACTGTTTGAATATTTTATGTTTATTTTAATTGTTTAACAACGTTTTCACAAGTAAATCATGGACCCAACTTTAGGGACACATTTCTTTTCTATGTTCCTAACTTTGGCCCATGAAATTCATTTGACAGCATATAGCAATAAGAGTAACGTCAACAATGTGGTTTGCATTTGGATGATAAGGAACGAACAGGAAGGGAGATTTTTTCTGCCAAATCTGTATAATGAACATCACAATGTTTTGATTTAGATATTCTGCGGTCGAAAGACGATAAGCGAAATTTTTAATTTTTAATTTTTAACTTGAGTGATTTAATGTAGTTTTCGTAAAATTTTCTCTAAGAAATGTTTTGAGGAATGAAGAGTATTAAGTTAACAGTGATAGTGATAAAAAAAAATACATAAGAAAACGTTACCAAGAGCGTTTTTTTTGAGAATCAAACAGGATAGGACGAAGTTGCATCCATAAATAGACCCAATTTGGGGACAATAGACCGATATTACATACATTTCCCTGGTGAGTTTTTGTCTTAAAAAAAGTAAGTTTTTCAACTTTTTGCGGTTCCTGATAGCAAACGACATGATAAGCATATCTAAGCATACCATTTAGCAGTAGAATATCGTTTGCAGGTAAATTAATTGATGAGTTATGATTAAAAACGTAATCTATGGCTGCATATTAGACCGAGGTTAGGGACGTATACCCTATGTTAATTATTTTACAATGAAACTGCCTGACAAACTTGTCATACACATTAAAAAGACTGATTACTGATGAACCTTTATTGTTAATTCGATACATAAAGTCCCGAGGGCGAATACGCGATGATCCATTCTCTTCATCGACTTTCTCTTTGCATTGCTACAGCTAAGCGAAACAATTTTCTAGAATTTGTTCAATGCAGAGTAGTAACAGGTTGTATTGGCTATCAAAAGCAACAGCAAACGCACCGAGAAACGTTAAATCTAGCGAGTTATTAACAAAAGAGAAAATCGACGAAGAGAATCGATCATTGCGTATAGGCCCTTATGCATGCTCACTGTCGACTTATACTTCATTCTGTATCTGTTGCGTAGTCGGTATGTAAACAAAAAACACTAGGTACTAACGGATGATCTTTAACTCTGCCTAATTGCAGCGCCAGTTTCGCCCACGAAAAAGCCCGATGCATCATAGTCGTCACAGGCAAACATGCGGCTTCATTCTGCCAAATAACTGATCCAGAGGGGGTGGGGGAAGCAACTTATGTCTACCTAACATAGATTGGTACCTTCAAGAAATGTTTTCAATTGCCACACGCACCGACATGATGATCGGTCAATCTCTTCGCTTCTATCTCTCGATCGGCCGACAATGTATCATCACTGCTCCAGGCAAGAAAAGGCGAACCAACGTAATCCTCCCAGGTACACGCTCGGCCAACATTTAGCTGTACTCCATTATTGCAAATGTAGGGCTTCTGGTGTACCCTTTCGTATCTCCAGAATAAACCAATTTCTCCTTATCTGTTCGCTGTGCACACACAGGCATCAGTCTAACAAGACCGTTGACAGAATCGCATCTCAGTTCCGAGAGACACGAGGTGATGCATTCACTGCCACAGTTGTAGATAAGCAGCCCAAACAGAGGTTTATCAGATTTTCATCTCCATCTTCCCTGGGGCTTCGCCAGTAGAAGGCAGAGGCACCTCCTCCACTTGTCCGAATGATCAGTTGCTGATCGGCAACTCTCGCGTGCAGACACGGCAGAAGTGAACCGCCGTTTGCGGTTCGGTTGTGTTTTCGCTGAACAGTGTTTTCTGCCAAAGCTTGGCAGCGATGAAGAAGGATCAGATTTTCCACGAGAAGAGTTTGCTGGTGCAGTCGTTGAAGATTGCCAGTAATCTGGACCGGAAGAAGTCACTATCTACGCCGATAATTCCTACGCAGAATCAAAATTATCTGTGCGTTCCGCTACTTCATAATGGCCTATATACGCAAAAGGCGACGGAAGAGGAAAAGTGCAACGAATACGAAGACATTGTAGTCCATTCGCATATCGAAAGGAAGCAGACGTATCAATCGATCACGCGGAGCATATCGCAGACCACGCTGACGATACCGGAGAACTACAGCTTCACCTCGGTGCATATTCAGGTGTACAAACGAAGATGGGCGATGTTGGCGCTTGGGATGTTGAGCATTGCGATCTCCTACGTGCAGTGGATCCAGTACAGTATTGTTGCGAATGTTGTGATGAAGTATTACGATGTGACGTCGGTGTGGGTCGACTGGACGTCGATGATTTTCATGGTGGTATACATAATATGCGTGTTTCCGGTTTCATACATTATGGACGTTCGGAATATGCGGCAAACGGCAGTCATTGGATCGGTGGGAACTGCCATCGGAGCATGGATCAAAGTATTTTCCGTAAATCCCAATCAGTTTCAAATGGTACTGCTGGGACAGACGGTGTCAGCCTTCTCGCAGGTATTCTTGTTGAGTATACCGTCTAGACTGGCATCAACTTGGTTCTCACCTGACGAAGCGTCCTCAGTTTGCGCGTTCGGTGTTTTTGCTGCTCAACTAGGAATAGCAATAGGATTCTTTTTCACTCCGATCGTGATCAGCAACAGTGACGATATTGATGAAATAGGAGTGAACCTGAAGATCTTCCTGATGGCTGTAGCGGGGATATCGACGATGATCGCCTGCATGGTGATCGCAGTGTTTAAATCGGCTCCGCAGTTTGCGCCAAGTCACGTGCAGGCACTCCAAAGAACAATGAAACCAAAATTGGAAGACTACTGGCCTGCCGTGAGCAGATTGATGCAAAACGACAACTACTTGATCTTGGTTATCGCCTACGGAATAAACTGCGGTATATTCAACTCGTTCTCGACGTTGTTGAATCAGATTGTGATGAACTACTTCCCAGACGGCGAAACTGATGCGGGTCGAATCGGTTTGGCACTGATTCTGCTGGGCTTGCTCGGATCGATGGTGTTCGGTTATCTGCTGGATAGCATGCACAAGTACAAAGCGACTGCCGTGTGGGCTTGTCGCTTATCGGCGCTTACGTTGGTGATCTTCGCACTTGCTCTGGAGACTCGATCCAAGAAACTCGTTTCTGTGGCGTCGGTATTTCTAGGGTAAATATATGCAGTGAATCTGCAAATTGAATTACGATACTAATTCTTTTCGATTCCTCACAGCTTCTTCATGACAGGATTTCAACCAATCGGGTATGAGTTTGCCGCCGAGTTGACTTTCCCCGAACCGGATGGACCGGTTTCAGGTATTATGAACATTTCCACGCAAGTGTTTGGCATCGTGATAACGCTGCTCATATCGGGGATTCAGCAAATTTTGGGAGACTTCATCGGAAACATGGTAAGCAGTGTTGTGTTTTGTTTTGCAAAAACTCTTTGTTTGCTTAGTGATATCCCAGATAATGTTTCCGGATGTGGATGTCGCAAAAATAGAAAAAAAAAAACAATGTTGTGCATATATATTTTACCTTTTTTTTTTAGATTAGAAACCATTCTTACTGATAACTTTCATCATAGGTTTTCGCTGCCTTCCTGATAATCGACGCGAATGTCATTGCGCTCATCCACTCGGAGCTGCGGCGGTACAACACCCACCGGGAGATCGAGAACGAGGCTGCCAGAGAACACGCCGAGGAAGCCATTGTACACTTTGACTCTATCAGCACCGAGGACGCGCCTCTCACGCTTAGGATAGACGACTGTAGCAGTTGAGGAGAGGGGAGAGCAGACGTGGTGTTCTGTTTGCTTGTAATGAGGTGATCAAGGCGGTACTATGGGGGTCAGCTTAGAAGACGTGATGGAAAGTGCAGATAGATAAAGACGTTTTCTTTTCTTCTGATATAAAAGAAGATAAGACAAAGAGAATGAGTCATCGGTGTCCCGGAATGAGAAATAATGCTAGCAATAATGGAGTATGAATGAGTTTGGAGTTTACGTGACCTACTGATCGAGAATCAATGACGTCAGACATCATGTCGATTGTGTTTGTATGTGGTATTTATTAATATTTGAAGATGATAAATAAAAAGTAGTCATCAGTGTGATTCTACGACAGTGTTTAACTATTACCTACAAACCTCGAAGTCGGATTGATGTGAAGTGTGTGTTATAAATTCAGACAATTTTGAATCATAGGGTTGAGAATATAATTGTTCTGTAGATGCTAGAAAGCAGGATAAGATTTGCTTTATTTCTGTAGCCTATAGTAAAATTCTAACTAGAAGAAGAAACGTTTGCTCTTATTCTTCTCTTAAATTCATGGTCATACGTCAAAATCTCGACCAAGGCTAGAACTTATTCACACAAAATAGTGCGAGCTGTTTCAAACACATCGCAATCCCTCGTATTTTCGCTGAATGAACACCAGCCCAAGCAACTCGAAGTAGGTTGGATCGGTTGGATGAGCGCTAGAAAATAGATCGTAAGCTGTTGCGATCTCTCATTAAACAAAGCTACTTGTGCTCTTAGCTGTCGACAGAAGCAGCTGTGTTTTTTGGGGCAGTCTGTTTATTCGATAGCAACTATTGTTGTGGTGCTTCTGTTTGTTCATTATCTGCAGCTCGTTTGCTTTTGTCATTGAAAGCAAACAACTGGAGATGTCCGTAGAAATAATGCTGACGATCAAATTCAGCTTCGCAAATGGAAGTGTGAAACCCACCATTGGTTGACAATTTCGTGAAAGCGCTGGACGCAGATCCCATTCAGATGATTGCTACATATTCAACTCAAAGGAATCGATGCCTGATAACCGTGAGCAATCAATTTTACATTTGCTGACGAAAAGGGAACGCTGATGGATACAATGATGAGAAGTATGCCACGGGTGTACGGGCTAGTTAGTTAGTTAGTTGGTTAGTTAGTTTTCTTTATTGAATAGGCTGGTTGACGGGTTCGCCTCTGGAGGAATGTTCGGGGTGTATATACACGGCCAATAACAGTAACCCAAATTTGAGTTTCGTTCACACAGATTTGGCAAAGGTGCAGGAACGCATTGTGTGAGTAAACTGATTTTACTCAGCTGTGAGTAAGTGAGGGAAAATTGTGACGTTGAGGTTATTTTAACCCAGCTGCTCGACTGAACGACGAGTAACCTGTACTCATTGTTTAGAATATTATTATTCTCACTCTTGAGTGAGTTTAACTCATAGACCTAACCTATATTGGTGCAATGTGATGGATTTATTTGGAATTTCTTAAGGTAGTAACAAATTAGAAAGAGATTTGAGGTTTGTTTTTATTAAAATTTAAACGAATTGCAATTTGCGTCTTCAGTAATAGTTCGTAGTAAACTGCTTGCGGCGTTTGCATTAAACAGTACTTCAGGTGAGAGACCATGTAGCGTATTTCTTCGTTTGTTGTTACTTCGGATTCGGATCGGTGACCAGTTTCGAAATCGGGATTGGAACCGGAAGATTTGCATACGTGATTCGTGTTGTTTATGCATGGAATTGAAAGGATCGTTATGGTAGCTGAATCTGTACTAATGAAATTAAGAAAATGAAATAATTATAGTACCGTGTAGTACGATGAATCTGACGACGTGGATGAGGCTTACGCGTTTGAGTGGTCTATGATGTGGACGTGGATGTGGATAGTGGCCTATGATCAGGATATGCATGGGATCAAAGCTGGGACACCAGGACAGAATGTAAACGACCAGTTTTTCCTGTTTTGGGTTGAGGGATGGGTTTTTTCATACTGATCACGCGCTGTAAAAAAAAAAGTGTAATATACGTCGTCCTCAATTCCTTTACCTATTATCGTGAGAGATGTTAACAAACGTTCCATGTGGGACTAAGAAGGCATCCTCTTACAAGAAAAGGTTACTCCCCTTGACGATAGTAAACTTAATCGTGGAGCGGTGTGGTTTTGAGATGCTCGATAACCCCGAGGAATCATTTGTGCTTACTGAGTTTATTCCCAAGCTCTTCCACAACAGAATAAATCGTAATCGCCGTGTTTCGAGAGCATAAAGCACCGTAAAAACCGTAAATGTTTAAATCATTATGGCATTGAAACTATTCCTTAATATCACATCCAGACTACAGAAATATAACATGTTATAACGCTGTAGGCATAACTCTCGGTAAACCATGAATCTGCTAACAATGCACAAACACTAAATAAGATCAATATATTCTTGTATTTCTTGTGATCATGTGACAATTGATCATGCAATACAGCGGGCTGAGAGAATGCTTAAAACTAAAACTAACCTGTTAGCTTTGCCACCGAAGCGGGGTTGGCCGTAATCTTCTCCTTCTGTAATCTCTATCGTAAAAAGTGTATCACTAAAACTCTCAAACTTTTCCTTAAAAAAAAAATTTGCCAAAGTTTCAATAAACAACACAAATTTTTTTTCCTTTGAACTGATGGCTAACTCGCAATGCAAACTGACAACTTAGAAAACGAGAATAAGACTATTCTAAACATTAGTGAAATGTACTCAGTTTTGTGTATGTATGATTTACTCACGAGGTGAGCCAGAATAACTCATCACGACGTGGAAATCCACAATTTTGACGTAGGATTACGTCTTTCGGCAACATATTGGGGGTGCAATTTAAAAAAAAACCAAAATCATCCGCGGGACGAAAATAGGTCAGGTTTTGACCACATATACCACTGTCAATAGCAGATGAATTTTAATTCTAAACAAGCCAAAGAATTGGGAATTTATCTACCAAACTTCTAAATTGAACACTTTATTAATTTTCAATAGGTCACTATTGAAAAATACACAAATGTCCAACTGTTGCAATGGTGATCAAAATTATAACCGATTACCTGCAAACAGCGCATTCCCTAACACAGATTTAAAAATCGAATTTGATCCTGTCTCACTGAACGGTGCTCATTCAATCACCGTGTGTGGTGGTGTCCGGTCGTCAACGTCAGCAGCAGCAGCAGTGATTAGCGTGTGGCGTACCCCACGAAAGGCAGCCTGCAAGCAGTGAGCTGCAGAGCCCATATGAGCACCCATAGAAGGAGGAAGAAGCCGCTGGATCGAAATCAGTTTCCTCGTGAGTAGCTGTGGGTCATTTATGCCAAGCGTGTCAACCTTACTCCAAACAATTAACAGCTCGCCAACCACACCCCAATAGCTCAGCATTACTCAACAATCACGACTAAACGGTCCTTTTCAGGACCACCACAAATTTGTTAAAGAGTATGTTTTGGATATTGTAAAGGTTATCAATCGGATGTCAGTTCCCGCAAGCAGCTAACAATCAAAACTCAATCTGGTCTATAGAAGGTGTGGAATTGTAGGCCTGAATGTATTGGTGCAATTCGTTTTTCACTAGGTTTTCATTTCGATTCGCACGATTCGTTGGGGGTCATTCCGAGAGTCGAAGTGACTTTTGTCACTACTGAAGTGAGAAAAGTCACGTCGTGGTGACGTGACTCTCTGTGCAAATCAAATGAAGCGTCACGTCACCACGACGTGACTTTTTTCACTTCACTAGTGACAATAGTCACTTCGACTCTCGGAATAACCCCCGTTTACTCAGTCACCCTTGTAGTGGCGTCATAATGTTTGTTTCGATCGGCATAGGAAATTAATATGAATTATAGAATTTGTGTATGTTACCAAAATTTTTGAATGGTCTGCCACTAAATGATAATTAATTGATTATTGAATATCACACTGTGTATACCATGAAAAAGCAGCCTTTTTGTGAGTTCCATATAACATACAGTTCGCCAGCCTTATCCGTGTTGAACACCCTAATAGATCAGCATTACTCAACCATCACGAGAAAACGGTCCTTTTCAGGACCATCATAAATTTGGTAAAGAGTATTTTTTTTACGTAGGATTACGTCTTTTGGCAACATATTGGGGGTCCAATTTCAGAAAATCAAATTCGACCGCATTACGAAAAGAGGTCAGGTGTTGATTACATACATATAACTCTGTCAATAGCAGATGGATTTTAATTCTAAACAAGCCAAACGATTGGAAATTTAGCTGGCAAATTGCTACAATGAACACTTTATTAATTTTCAATAAGTCACTATTCAAAAATACACAATGTCCACCTGTTGCAATGGTGATAAAAATTATCACCGATTACCTGCAAACAGCGCATTCCCTAACACAGATTTAAAAATCGAATTCGATCCTGCCTCACTAAACGGTGCTCATTTAATCACCGTGTGTGGTGGTGTCCGGTCGACGGTGTCCGCAGCAGCAGCATCAGTAGCAGCAGTGCTTTCGGCGTGTGGCGTTGAACATCGTTATCCTGTACACCACGAAAGGCATCCTGAAAGCAGCGAGCATCCATAGAAGGAAGACGAAGCTGCACCGCGATCGAAATCAGTTTCCTCGTGAGAAGCTGTGGGTCATCAATGCCTAGCGCCGTCAACCTTGCTCCAAACAATTAACAGATCGCCAGCCTCATCCGTGTTGAACACCTTAATAGCTCAGCATTACTCAATCATCACGACTGAACGGTCCTTTTCAGGACCAACACAAAATTGTTAGAGTATTATTTGGACATTTGTCGAGGTCATCAGTTCCCGCAACCAGCTAGCTATCAAGGCTCAACCTGTCTATATAAGGTGTGGAATTGTAGGCCTGATTGTATTGGTGAGATTAATCATATCGTCCGGCCATTTTCCAGAGACGGAGCTGTTCTGCTGGTAGGAAGTTATAAAAATCCACATATAGAATTTGAAAGAAGTGGAAATAATTCGCTTTAGGTGCATATTCAGGTAAAAAGTGAACGACAAGTTAAATTTATTAGTCAGGGACAATCATTTGTTTTCCCGGAAAATACTGTTTAATATAAATGATTTTTCTTCATACAGTTTTACCTGCTTTACTACCAATCCTCAGAAAGCCAAAAAATAATCAAATTTGTGAGTAAATTAGCTCTCACGAGCTCAATCTCTCAATTGCCATATTTTTATGAAACCCAATTTGTGATTTCCTTTCATAGATTACAAAATAGAGTAGGGTAGAGAACTACTTCGGTCTAATAGCCGATTTTGGGCCTATCGAGCAGAAAACTTCAAATAAATCCATGATCTCAGAGTTAACAAT